GCTTGTTACCTTTTTTGCTTGTTTGCAGTCACTTGAAGATGGACATGGTGAAAGTTAAAGAGACTTTTGTGTGGCTGAACTTTTTACTTTTTATTGGACTATACATCCTGTGATTAGTTAAAAACAAAATAGAGTATATAATTCTCTGTTTTGTTTTTGGTTCTTGGATTTTGCTTGACCTCTCTTTGGTGCTTACAAACTCTTGTTATTTTGCTATTTTGTAGTTGATTTTTAGAGCGGACTTTTGGAAAAGCTAAGAGAACCTTTACCTGGTTAGACTGCAGGAAATTTTATTTGTTGTACGTTTGTATTAGGATATTGAGTCATTGGCATATCTTACCCAAAACCTAACTTGCTATATATATCAAAGTTCCTTGAATTTTTTATGGTCATTTTTTTTATTTTTTTCGAAAGCTTGGAAGCTATGCACTGATCGATCCAGAGATCTTTGATCGAATGATCGACCGATTGAATTGGTTTCAGGTAATATTTAGTTAAAAGTCAGAATGCATCGATTGCGCGGTGGATAGGTTGAATTCCTTTTAGACTCCTTGTAGTCTTCGATCAATTGAACTTGTCGGACCTACGCATTCGGTGCCTGTATAATAGTAGTGGCATTTTTTTATGTAGGATTCCAATGAAGGTGTAGTGTTTTGGAAATGTCATAGTGCAGTCTGGACCTTGTGGGAGGCAGCATTCGATTCGTCTTGGTTCGTGGTTATTTATGTTTTGAACATTGTTTTACAGTATATTTGATTTTATTTCACCATCTTCCCAATTTTTACCGCTGTGTTTATTCTTCCTTCATATATATATTTCTCCTTTCCACCATTTGTTTTTAAAATTCATGTATCTTTCTTACTTGCAATATTAGGTGAGGATTACTTTTCCTTTTACAATTCATTATAAATGGCTTATTCTATTTGTACAGATATAGTGGAGGAGCATATTAAATCATTGTTTGTCTATTTGTTCTCAGTTCTTGTTTTCAGCGTGGGGTAGAGTAGTTCGGTAGCTCGCAAGGCTTCTAACATTGACAGCATGGGTTCAAATCCTGTCTCCGCAGCGTTATTTTTATTCTTGCATAATTTTTTTCCTGCATGTGTGAATAAGTTTGTTTTGCGTCGGGACCTTGTTGGACGCAGCATTCGATTCGTCTTGGTTCGTGGTTATTTATGTTTTGAAAGTTGTTTTACAGTATATCTGATTTTATTTCACCATCTTCCCAATTTTTACCACTGTGTTTATTCTTCCTTCATATATATATTTCTCCTTTCCACCATTTGTTTTTAAAATTCATGTATCTTTCTTACTTGGAATATTAGGTGAGGATTACTTTTCCTTTTACAATTCATTATAAATGGCTTATTCTATTTGTACAGATATAGTGGAGGAGCATATTAAATCATTGTTTGTCTATTTGTTCTCAGTTCTTGTTTTCAGCGTGGGATAGAGCAGTTTGGTAGCTCACAAGGCTCCTAACATTGACAGCATGGGTTCAAATCCCGTCTCCGCAGCATTATTTTTATTCATGTGTAATTTTTTTTCCGCATGTGTGAATAAGTTTGTTTTGCTGGTTACTCGTTACTTTCTTACTTGTTTGCAGTCACTTGAAGATGGACTTTGTGAAAGTTATAGAGGCTTTTGCGTGGCTGCACTTTTTACTTGTTATTGGACTTTATATCCTGCAATTAGTTGAAAACTGAAGATGGTATCTAATTCTCTGTTTTTGTTTTTTGTTCTAGGATTTTGCTTGACCTCTCTCTTTGTTATTTTGCTTGTTTATAGTTGATATTGAGAGCGGTCTTTTGGAAGAGCTAAGACATCCTTTACCTAGTTAGACTGCTGGAAATGATTGATTTTCTTTAAGTTTGTATTAGGATGCTGAGTCATTGGCATATCTTGTCAAAGTGCCTTGAGTTGTTCATGTACATTTTTTTTAAGACATGGCAGACAAAAAATTGAGATCATGTTGGATTATTTGCTTCCTCAATCACACAATTATGTATCGGGTAAATGGACTTTTAGTAAATTCCTTTGTTTGACCTTTGATCTTGGTTTGGCTCCTAAACTGTTTTGATTAAGAACTTAAAAATTTTTTTTTTGAAAGTTTGGAAGTTATGTGTTGAACAATCCAGAGAGCTTTGATTGAATGATCAACTGACTTAATTGGTTTTAGCTAATATTAGTTCAAAGTCAGAATGCATCAAGTGCATGGTTGATTGTTTGAATTCCTTTTAGACTTCCAGTAGTCTTCGATCAATCGAACTTGTCGGACCTACGTATTCGGTGCCTGTATAATCGTATTGGCGCGTTTTTATGTAGGATCTCAATGAAGGCCAGTAGTGTTCGGTAAATGTCATAGTGCAATCTGGATCTTGTGTTACGCAGCATTACTATTTGTCTTTGATTGTGCTAATTTGCATTTTGAAAGTTGTGTAACAGAGTATATTTGGTAATTATTTCACCATCTCCCCAATTTTTACTTATGTGTTTAATCTTCATTCATCCATTTTTCTGTTTTCCACCATTTGTTCTGAAAATTCATGGATCTTTCTTACTTGAAATATTAGGAGAGGATTAGAATTCCTTTACAATTCATTATAAATGGGTTGTTCTATTTGTACAGATACAGTGGAGGGGGTGCATGAAATCCTTGTTTGTCTATTAGTTCTCAGTTCTTGTCTTCAGCGCGGGGCAGATCAGTTTGGTGGCTCTTAAGACTCATAACCTTGAGGTCTTGGATTCAAATTCCCTCTCCGTAGCATTATTATTTTTTAGCATGTTTTGCTTGTTTGCTGGTTGCTCTCTACTTTTTTGCTTGTTTGCAGTCACTTGAAGATGGAATGGACTTTGTGAAAGTTAAAGAACCTTTTGCATTACTGGACTACTTATCATTGGACTTTACATCCTGTGATTAGTTGAAAACTGAATAGAGTATCTAATTCTCTTTTTTCTTTTTTCTTTTTTCTATCTTCTATCTTCTTGGATTCTGCTTTACGTCTCTTTTTGATGTTTACAGACTTGTTATTTTTGTTGATTGTAGTTGATTTTGAGATCGGTCTTTTGGAAGATCTAAGAGTGCCTTTAGCTCTGGTTAGACTGCAAGAAATGATCAATGTTTCTGTAAGTTTGTACCAAGTAATGTATCGAAGTGCCTTGAGTTGAGAAGATCGTGGTGGAATATTTGCATCCCAGTCGCACGATTAGGTACAAGTTAAATGGACTCAAGTAAATACCTTAGTTTGACCTTTGATCTTGGTTTGGCTCATAAACTGTTTTGATTCATAACTTTAAGTTTTACATTTTTTTTCAAAAGCTTGCAAATTATGCTTCAATCGATCCAGAGAGGTTTGATCGAATGATCAACCGATTGAATTGGTTTCAGGTAATATTTAGTTGACAGTCAGAATGCATCGATTGCATGGTCGTTAGATTGAATACCTGTCAGACTTCCAGTAGGCTTCGATCAATCAAACTAGTCAGACCTATGGATTCGATGCCTTTATAATAGTAGTGGCATGTTTGTATGTAGGATCTCTATGAAGGCCAGTAGGGCTTGGCAAATGTCATAGTGCAGTCGGGACCTTGTGGTAGTCAGCATTCAATTTGTCTTGGTTTGTGCTTATTTATGTTTTAAAAGTTGTGTAACAGTATAGTATATTGGTAAAGTGCACTTAACACCCCTGTTATGTACTCTCAGAACCATTTTCACCCCCTATTTTAAAAAACGTGCTATATTTTGTCAACACCCCTCAAATCACTTTTCTGCAAAATATGTATTCGAATATAGACGTCATCTACATACGACATAGCCAGAAGCACACATTCTCCAATATAAAAGCAGCCTCGATCTTTAAGTTCTCTATCAGCAGCACGATCAAGATTCAAGCCAGCAACGGGTGGTTGAATTTTCTGTACTGATTGAAGCTCGCCGATTCCTACACGATAATCACCCTCAGCTCTACCACCTTAACTTTATCGACCTCAAATTACAAAAACACAATCTCTCTATATCTATATATCTCTTTCTAAACATGAAGAATACATACTGTATGGCCGACTGAAATGCAATATATCAAGTGACCCAAAGAAGGATCAGATTGACCCGAATAACATCATATTTGGGGGTGTCCTCTTCGGTAATTTCACAAAAATATTTTTTTAAAATAATGTAAACTATGTCTATTTAAGGGTAATCTGGTCAATGACTTACTTTAATGTGTCAGATAGGACTTATTTGCACTTTTTTTTTGATTTGAGGGTTTTTTGAGCACGAGGGGGTTGATATGCACTGTAAGGACGGGTGTTAAATGCATTGTACCCTAGTATATTTGATATTATTTTCACCATCTTCCCAATTTATACTGCTGTGTTTAATATTCCTTCCAGCATGTGTGAATGAGTTTCTTTTGCTGGTTGCTCGTTACTTTTTGGCTTTTATGCAGTCACTTGAAGATGGACTTGGTAAAAGTTAAAGAACGTTTTGTGTGGCTGGGCTTCTTACTTGTTATTGGGCTTTACATACTGTGATTAGTTGAAAACAGAAGAGAGTATCTAATTCTCTGTAATTTTTTTTGGTTCTATCTCCTTGGATTGTGCTTGACCTCTCTTTTTGTTGTTTGTACTTGTTATTTTGCTTGTTTGTAGTGGATTTCGAGAATGGTCTTTTGGAAGAGCTAAGAGAACCTTTACCTAGTTAGACTGCAGGAACTGATCAATCTTATATTAAGTTTGTGTTAGGATATTAAGTCATTGGCATATCCTAGTTTGTGGATATTTTTTTGAAGTGGTGGCAGACAAAGAAATTAAGAAGATCATGGTGGAATATTTGCATCCTCAATCGCACAATATTATATATCCGGTAAATGGACTTCATTAAAAACCTTAGTTTGACCTTTGATATTTGTTTGGCTCCTAAACTGCTTTGATTCTAAACTTTTAAGTTTTAGATTTTTTTCGAAAGCTTGGAATTTATGCGTTGATCGATTCAGAGAGCTTTGATCGAATGATCAACCGATTGAATTTGTTTCAGGTAGTATTTAGTTCAAACTCAGAATGTATCGATTGCATGGTGGATAGGTTCTTTTAGACTAATTGTAGTTTTCAATCAATTGAACTTGTTGGACCTACGTAATTGCCTGTATTATAGTACTGACATGTTTTTATGTATGATCTCAATGAAGGCCACTAGGGTTCGGGAAATGCCATAGTACAGTTGTGACCTTGTGGTAGGCAGCATTCGATTTGTCCTGGTTTTTTTGCTTATTTACATTTTGAAAGTTGTAGCTTTATATTTGATATTATTTCACCATCTTCCCTTTTTTTTTTTTTTACTGCTGTGTTTAGTTTTTAATCTTCATCTCTATTTCTCTTTTCTATCATTTGTTCTGAAAATTCATGGAGCTTTCTTACTTGAAATATTAGGTGAGGATTAGAATTCCTTTACAATTCATTTATAAATGGGTTATTCTATTTATACTGATATAGTGGAGGAGCGCATTAAATCCTTGTTTGTCTATTAATACTCAGTTCTAGTCTTCAGCGCAGGGCAGAGCAGTTTGGTAGCTCGCAAGGCTTGTAACCTTGAGGTCATGGGTTCAAATCCCGTCTCTGCAGTAGTATTTTATTTTTAATTTTTTGTTTCAGCTTTTGTTAATGAGTTTTTGTTGTTTGCTGGTTTCATGGCTGGACTCCTATGTAGAGAAGGTATTGGCATTTTAGGTTTTGTTGTTTCCAGTTTTTGTGACTGGTGGAAAATATGTACAGAATCTCTAGTAGCTAGACTGATATTTTGGTTGGCTTCTAAAAAATTAATATTTTGTTCTCCGCAGCTATATCTTGCGAAGTGTAGAATGGTCCTTGATAGGTCTGCAGTTTTGTTTCTTGTAGGTTTTGCCAGTTGTTCACATTACATGATCTGAACACTTGTAAGAGAAACAGTGGGATCATTCTTAAAACTCTTTAAGAGTGCCTGTTGTCCAGCTGGACATGAACCCTTGAATTTTTATTTTTATTTTTATTTATTTATTATTTATTCTTATTTTTTTTCCTTGGAAGTAATTACGTTCTTATCTTTAATTTCTGAGAAACAAATTTTATGGATTTTCTGCTTTGTAGATTTTCATGCGAAGGCTTTGCTGTGGTACAGAACTTATGAATGGTTGAGCTTTCAAGGGCTTCTTGCTAAGGCTCTCCTCTGCTCTGTGCTTTCTTTCTTTCCTTTCTTTTTCTTTTTTGTTTTTTCCCCTCAATTCTTCACTTACACGTCTCTTTCATGAGGGTATCCTGTGTTTTGTATTATCTTCCTTATCAATGATTTTTATATTTGTTGCTATCAAATTTAGTTGAACTTGATTTTGTATAATAACAGTGGGTGGATTTTATGTAGGATCTTAATAAAGACTAAAGTAAATGTCAAAGTGTAGTCGGGTCCTTGTGGCAGGCTGCATTTGATTGGTCTTGGTAAGTGCTTATTTACATTTTGAAAGTTGTGTAACAGTATCTTTGGTATTATCTCCCCTTCTACTAAATTTTTACTGCTCTGTTTAAATCTTTCTTCATCTCTCTCACCTTTTCTGCCTTTTGTTCTGAAAATTGATGGATCCATCTTATTACTTGAAATATTAGGTGAGGATCGGAACCCTTTTACTGTGTTCTCTATAAATGGGCTATTCTATTTGTACAGAATCTACAGATATAGTGGAGGGGCGCATTAAATCCTTGTTTGCATCTTAGTTCTCACTTTTCTTCAGTGTAGGGCAGAGAGCAGTTTGGTAGCTTGCAAGGCTCATTACCTTGAGGTCACGGTTTCAAATCCCGTCTCTGTAACATTCTTTTATGCTTGGTTTTTGTTTTGTAGCATGTGTGAATGAGTTCCTTTTGCTGGTTGGTCGTTACTTTTTTGCTTGTTTGCAATCTATTACTTGAAGATGGAATTGGTGAAAGTTAAAAGAGCCTTTTTCGTGGCTGGACTTCTTCTGTTATTGGACTGTATCCTGCCATTATTTGAAAGCAGAAGAGATAATCTAATTCTTTGTTTTTGTTTTTTGTTCTATTTTCTTTGTTTTTGCTTTAACTCTCTCTTTGGTGTTTACCGACACTTGTTGTTTTGCTTGTTTGTAGTCGATTTGCTTGGACCTGACCTTAAGGTGGATTTCGAGCATGGTCTTTTGGAATAGCTAAGAGAATCTCTACCTGGTTAGATTGCAGGAAATGATCAATCTTTTACTCTCTAATTTTTATAAGCCTGATGTGAATGAGATCTTTTACTCTTTAATTTTTACAAGTCTGATGTGAATGATATATAGCTACTGCTGTTATAGCACTTTTGCTTGTAATTTTCTGTTAGGATATATAGCTGTTGTTGGTACTTTCTTTTCTGTCTTTCTGCTTCTGTTAGATTGTTACGATACAGGATGTAGGAACACATAGGTGAGGTTTCTAATTTTTCTCCTTTGCGGCTGCTTACAAGCTATTTGTTCTTTCCTTTCCACCTTGTTTCCAAACAAAATTGTTCAGTGTTGGTGGATGCACTCTAAACCTTGGTATCTTATGTTTTGTATTATCTTCCTTACCGATGATTTTCTTATTTGTTACTAATGAATTTTGGTGAACTTGATTCTGGATAGGCATATGGTCATTACATTTGGAGAGCAAAACCTCCTTTTTGTTTCTGTGGTTTATTGCTTGTGGACTTGTTGTTTGTGCATTGCCTTGTATTATTTACCATCACAACTAACTGCATACTTTTGTAAGGGAGCATATCTTCCCCCCAACAAAAAAAATAAAAATAATAATAATAATAAGGATGCATTTCCTATTCAGACTGAACTTGACTCTTGGACAATCGACTTCCATTCTGGATTTTGTCATCAATGTAATTACGCCATCTCAGCTGATGAGTTTTCTGAGCGAGCGTGCGTGCGTGTGTGTGTGTATATATATATATTTGTTTTTGTTCTTGTTATCTTTCTAGTGTTTGGTGGCAGCAATTATCTGTTTGCGGTTATTTTTTTCCCTTTTGTGGACTGCGCCTAGCACTTTTCTTCGTGATTTGCCGTCATTAAACGCATTCACCAACTAATATCAGCACCAACGGATGCACTTCTACATAGTTACAACACAGCATTTTGTTTTACTTTGTTGGATATTTCTTTATGCCCAAATTTTTAGATTCCATTTTTTTTCTTCCTGTTTTACACTCTAGGAGAACCGAACATTTCAAAATTGGATGGACATAAGTACTCAATTCTGCTTTGCCGTGTCTCAATGTGTTTTTTTTCTTGGTAGGGATTTTATGCATTATCTTCGAGATTTAATGAACTTCTAATCATCATATATGTGCATTTCCTTCAAATGATTGTCTTAATCTATTTTGTAAGACACATATTGTTGATATCTTATTTTGAGATATGATGTTTTGTCATTGACCGGGATGACGTCTTACATTTTTGCATATTCAATCTTATACTTGGATAATTGTAAGCATCTTTTTTAATTAGATTCTTAGTCAGAGGTTACTTGCATTGCTTTGAATTCCATGAGTAGGTTGGAACGTCTTGGTTAATCCAAATTTTCTGTATGAACAACTTATTTTATTAAGGTTTTAACTGAGTTGAATGTGTATCTTTATATTTCTGTTTCTTTTGTGGCATTATGAGTGACCGTCACAATTTGTACTGAGGTTAGACATTAGTGCTGAACTGAAATTTCTTGAGCACCTGATGCAACGTAGATTGAACTGCAAATACACATCTCTTTTTAATACCGATTCTTGGTGATATGGTTCTTTGTTCTTTACTCGTTGCAGTGAACGTATGGGAGGATATACTGTAATTCACTGATTGAGCACCCGCATCTGGAACAACGAACCGTTATTTATCTATGATGTCTATCGTGCGAACCCGTGATACAATTGTTCTAGTTTATATGTGCATTCTGTTTATTTGTTTATGTTAGTTTTTATGTGCGATATATTTATTTGTGTTTTTTTATATGGATTTTGGAGAGTACGAGGAGAGCATTCTATCTTGTTTCCGCCGCCTTTTCCATTGGCTAATGTGTAATGCAATTAGCAGTAACACTTACTATGTTGCTGAGATTGTATTTAGAATTAAAAGAAAATGGGTATATAAATACTAGTTTTGTTCATTGCCCTCTCTTTGTTTCTGTGCAATCTTGGTATTTTTGTCTGCTTGTTGGGTTACCTTGTAGGGATCATACGAAATTTCTTGACAGTTGGATAATGCTAGATTCCGTCTAGCGATGCATCAGTTCAGGCTGTTAACTTTCTACTCCTTTTCTGTGCACACACTAATAATCTATTGGGAAAGTATTGCTTGTATTGTTCGGGGTGAATTGCTTGTTGGATGAGACGATTGGTGATTATGGTTCCAGAAGATAGTGTTTCCAATTTGTATTATAGAAGATGTGTTGATAAGTAGTTAAGAGTTAAGACCAAAGAACCATCGCTATTTATAGGATTATATCCCATGTCTCCTATTTGGCTTTCAATTTGCATTTGTCTATGGACACCATCTTTTACCTGAAATTTGTCTTTTCTTGTTAACGTACCTTTTGAAGTGATGTAGAGTCTCCTGCTCTCTCAGTTAAAGTGAATGACAGTGTGCTGATGGATGTCAGGGTTCTGCACACCACGTCTTCTGTTTATATATTATACTAGTATTAAGTAAGCAAAATTACAGTAATGTCCTTAACAAGCAAAAATGAACTCTTAACAACTAACACTCTCTTGTTTTTCCCTTTTGGTGTTTGAGTAAGACTGAAAATTCACTTTTGTGTAAATGAAATTATTGGTACCGTTTTTAGTGATTCTATCTCGTTCACATGTTTTTTTTCTTCTTTCTTGTTACTTACCTTTTAAGTGTTTGCAGAGTCTTCTGCTATCCCCTTGTTCCTTTTGGTGGTCGTGTTAAATTGAAAACTCATCATTGTCTAAATGAGGTTATTGGTACCATTTTTAATGATACTCTCTTCACTATTGAATCGAAAGATGAAATGAGGATGTTGTCATGCCTTCATGTGAGGCTGCTGATTTTACTTGCGTTTTCTTGTTGCTAGTTCTCATTTATTCTTTTCATGCAAGGTTTCTTTCAAATCTTTACTCTTGTCATTTCATCCATTACAAGGAAATTGACATATTAAAGGCAAGGTTCCGTTGCATGTGAGCAGTTAAACTTTATACTCTCATTCTTTCACATGGTTTATAAGATATAATTTTTTTTATTTATAATAGATATTGCTTTGATTTTTAGATTGCATTTTTTCCTTTTACTTGCCAATATAGATGTGATGAGCGGATCATTGGTGAAATTGATGGTTCTTAAAATGTGTGAGAACACTTCTCTAACAATGATTCCATCTTCTCATCGTAGGAATGCTGCTTGATCCTCACTTACTATGATTGAGGTTCTTATAACATATGGATATGTACACACTCACACTCTTGGGGAATGTGCGTCGGCAGCCTGTTTAGAGAGTTCTCTGCTTTCTCGTTGCAACATGTTGAAGCTATATTTAGCAGCATGTGCTTGGGGACTTGATTGCAGTTATTTAACCTGTTCTAGTAAATTCCGCTTCTGTATCCTGATGCCTGGATGGATTCTTGTTTCTTAGGGACCTCATGGTATATTTCAAGATCTAAGTGATTGAATGTATATGGTGCTGTTATGACACACACGTGAGTGTGTCCTGCTGTCAAGAGTGAGGTTAGATTATTATTGTGGAATTAGAAATTTGAATTTGTTGTATCTATCTAATAAAAATTTGTAGGAACGGTAGTGTTGTGGTATTTTCTTTGTGAAGGGGTCTGCTGCTTGATTCCCCATCTCCGTTTTCTCCTCCCTTAATGTTGTAGAAAACGTCCATTCCATTGTTTTTTTGGTAATACGTCCTTCCTTTTCCCAGATAGCACTGAGATTTACTTTTTATCCTCAAGTGTTAATATTGGTTCTTTTGTGGTTTAATTTCTATAACCTTATATTTTATTCTGGTTTTGTGTGTTCTGTTGTTCTCTTCTCCGAAATAACTACTACTTTTTTTCTTTTTTCTCTCATTTCTGTTTTCATTACAGTGGAGAGTTAAATCTTCGAGTTGTTGAGCTTTACAACTTCAATGTTTTATGTGGAAGATACGGATGACATGTTGCAAGAATTGAATTGTGTTGCAGGTTCTTTTTGTTCATATTACTTCTAGAAATTTGGAGTTAAAGAAAATGTGTTTTGAGTTATTTTTTTGACTGACTATTGAGAATTTTGGTACGCTTAGTAGGGTGGAATTTTAATTTTGATACTTCAGGTTGAGGGTCATCATTACTTTTAGGAGCATAGTTCGTAGGTTTAACCTATAGTATGCTGCTGGTGATCCTTTCAATTAATGTCGGGTCATTCTTCTCCTATGTAACTGAAGACTTCATCCTCTCTGCTTTTGATTGATCTCTGCCTGATACATTGTATTCCTAATACAAACATCCCTATGCTAAAACACATCAGTCTGGGTAGTGATGTGAAGTTTCATCAACCGTCTTATTGATGGAGAACCGGAACCGGGCCTGGCCCGAGAGCTTGAAGACCACATGGCCCACACCTACTATTGGGAGACATGGGAAAGAAAGATAGAACTAGGGATTTTAGTTTATTTATTTTTATTATGGAATATTTCAGCAATTTAGGGTTTTATTTATGATAATAGGTTGATTAGGGTTTTTTATTTGATGTTTATTTATATATTGGTTCAGATTATTATTCAGAAATTATTGTGGTTTCTTCCTCAATTCTGATTTCTCCCTCTGTTATTCTTCTCTCCTCCCTCATTCTGATTTCTTCCCCTATTATTCTAATTCTATCTCTCTCAATCTCTATCTTAACCTCTTTCTTATTTGAATTCTGTTATCGAATCGTTCCTACCCGTTGCTGCATCAATTGGTATCAGAGCAAAAGATTCACGTTGTTGACTCTACTGTTCACAAGTCTGTTCATCCTTATTTCTCATCCACCCAAAACATACAATCAGAACCTAGTCAACACCCTAGCCGCCACTACTGCTGCCATCCATCAAGTCTTGCAAAACTTTAGCCCAGACAAAAAACAAACCAACCCACCTCCACCAATACAGCAGTAAGCCATCTAACCCACCAAACAGAACAACAAACCCAAACACAATTACAGGACCCAAACCCACAACCAATCTACAGAACTCAAACCAACAGCTTCCTTGCCGTGTTGCAGTTGTCAAAGAGCTTTTTGTTCGTTCTTGTCGTCGTCAACCTTCACCGCCGCTGCAAAATCTCGAATTGGAATCTGCTACAAACATCATCGCCGGAAACCGTAGTCAGAATCGCATCGCGTTGCCCTCGCCATCGTTAGTTTCATGACCATCGCCGGAGTCGATTCTGCTGTTCGTTGTTGTCATTGCTAGAAGGTCACTGATTCAAGCCTAAAGTTTTGGTCTTCTATCCATTTGGAAAGAAAGCGCAGGGTATGCATATCAGAGGATCAGATCAGATTAGTTGTTTGGCCCAGTCTAGTATTACTTCAGCCCAAGTGCCAACCCAGAATTACACCAGCCCTGTTTGGTTTGGGGTATAGAGCTATTCAAGTTTTGAACAAGTTCTGAAATCAGTTCAAAACTGAACCAGTTCAACAATTCCAGTAGTGAACCAGTTCAAAAAAAATAAAAATAAAAAAACGAATAAAATGAGATTGACTTATTTAGTAGCATTCAATATTTGGGTTGATCACAAAGGACCTCAGAAAATTGTTTTAGTACTTTTATCCATTTGATTAGTTTAGAAATTGCAAAAGGTCCTAATTGAACCCTTGAGCCAAATAAATATATATCTTTTTTATTGTTTCCACCTTTAATTTTACACCTAAATACCGACACCAGTGCATGACTTCTAGCATAATTAATTTCATTTGCATTCAGATTTCTTAGTTGAGCATTGTTCTAGTTTATAATTTAGTGTACTTGATTCAATTTGAGGTCTATGTTGGCATTATCCTCAACCATTCTTATGTCATACCATTCCACCATGACTATCAACAACCTTCTTTAAACTTTATCCACTGACCTAGTTGATACATCTTCTTAACGATGTCAGAGGAGAACATCGTTTTATGTCCCCAATGGCTTTGTTATAAGCCAAGCAAGGTTAAGATTATTGAGTCCAAACCAATGTACCCAATGGCTTTGTTATAAGCTAAGCAAGGTTAAGATTATTGAGTCCAAACCAAGGTTCCCATCAGAAATAGAATTAACTGGTGTGAAAATGAAAGGAAAACAAAAACAACATTGAAAATAATTTTGGAACTACTACTTTTGAAAATTGGAAATAGGCTTTTTCAAACTCCATCCTCAATCAGTGAACTCCTTTGTTTGTTTAACAAAACTAATCACTTGCTTTGCAAAGTACGCCAGGACTCGTGCTCATTCAAACTCCATCCTCAATCAGTGAACTCCTTTGTTTGTTTAACAAAACTAATCACTTGCTTTGCAAAGTACGCCAGGACTCGTGCTCAATGCAAGTTGCACTCTCTCTCCAATAATGAAGCCTTTAATTGCTAAAGAATTTTAAAGGATTATAGATTGTGATGTTAGAGTTGCAGTAGCCTCATGCCTTAGTGAGTTACAACGATTGTATCATCTTTTGAAAGTCAATATGATAGATCTAGTCCATCTTATGATAAAAGTGTCAAAATCCTCAACACATTTGCAAGTGTAAGTCATGATTAATAATGTTAGATTTGGAATGTGAAGAGTTGATTGTCCAGATGCTTCAGTACTTTTTAACATAAATAAGAGATTATCATCTGGACATTATCTTTTAACATGTAGAGCAAATTATGACCCTTGTACATGCGACTATATCTCCGTAGAGCAACTTCGTCCTCTTCAAACTAGTGTTAGGAAAAGGAAATCAGACGATTTCACCTCAAATCTTATTATAAGTTAGGAGAAAAAGTCTTGAAAAACTGCTCCCCTCTTCCAAAGGCTCTACATCCCTCTTCCAAAGGCTCTACATTCTTTGGGCCTTTTGTCCATTGATTTTATGGAAGTAATCGTTTCTATTTGTCAAGATGTGTCTGAATTGCCACATGAATGTTGTGCAAAACACAATTACCTTAGCCCCAGGATCATATTCAATTGTCACACAATCTCACACATCCTTGTGAATATGTTAAACTGAGTCAACCAAATGATTAGTTTGCACAAAAAGAATTTACTCAAGATCGTTTTGAAAGAATTTTAAAATATCATAAGTCATCTAATTCCATTATGTCGAATAAAGATATCAAGTACCGCAATAATTTCTGGAAGACACTTTGGACATTTTTAGGAACAAATTTGAAGTTTCCTTTTGCATCTTGTCCGATGACAGATAGGAAAATTGAGGTTGTGAACCAAGGACTAAGAAAGTTGGTTAGTTTTATTGTTAGTATGCACCTAGATACTTGGAACTTGTTTTTACCCATCATGGAGTATGTTGTACTAGTTTGACTAATGAAAGTACTGGCATATGTTCTTTTGAGGTTATTTATAGTGCCAAGCCAGTCCATTGATTATTTTCATCCACCTCCATGTATATTCACTTGAATTTGTTGATTCCTTCGTGCAGCTTGTTCATGGTTTTAAAAAAGAAGTTTTGGGTTTTGGCTTACTCAAATTGAGAGCCAAGATCTATATTTATATACAAGAATAGGGTACAAAGAAAGGAAATTAATCCAAAGAAAGACATAAAATATGCCAAAATCTACGAGATCCCATGATTATGGGGATCTTATCAACGGGATCCCATAATTACCGGGATCTTATCTACGTGATCCCATGACTATAGGGATCGTACATAAAATATCTAATAAAAGGCTAAAAACAGCTAATAAAAATAAAAATAAAAATGATGAAGATATTTCAACACTCCCCCTCAAGCTGGAGTGAAGATATCAATCAAGCCCAGCTTGGTAATCGAGGAATGAAGCAAAGATGGACCAACAAATTTGGTGAACACATCAGCCGACTGATTAGAGGAATGAACAAAGCACGGCTTGATAATTCCCGAACGAACCTTCTCTCTGATAAAATGAATGTCCACCTCTTATGTTTAGTCCTCTCGTGAAGAACAGAATCTGAAGCAAGCATGATGGTTGACTTATTATCACAAAACAAGTTTGAGGACTGTTTTTCACCTAGCCCTAGCTCCTCCAAGAAAGATCAAAGCCAGAGAATCTCACAAGTACCCAGAGCCATGGCACGATACTCAGCCTCTACTGAAGATCTCGAAACTACAGGTTGTTTCTTACTTTTTCAGGATATAAGATGGTCTCCATAGAAAGTACAGAAGCCAGATGTGGAACGTCTGTCAGTCTTGGACCCAGCATAGTCTGCATCACTGAAACAGGGTAGCCCAACTTGCTTGCTAGAAGAATAGAATAATCTAAGTCCAGGACAAGACTTAAGATTCGAAGTTTATGATATCCTGCATCTATATGAGCTGTACGAGGAGCATGCATAAACTGGCTCACAACACTAACCGCAAAAGCCAAATCAGGACGGGTGTTGGTAAGATAAATCAATCTTCCTACCAAGTGCTGATACTGCGAGGGATCAAAAAGGAGATCTTCGGACTCAGTCGAGATCTTTAGATTAGGATCCATAGGAGTATAAGTAGGTTTACACCTAAGCATACTCGTGTCTCAAAGAAGATCCAAGACATACTTCCTTTGCGATAAGGAGATACCCTGCTTAGATCTAGCAACCTCAATTCCCAAGAAATATCTGAGCTGCCCAAGGTCTTTCACATCAAAGGCTTTAGCCAATTGAAGCTTTACTTGAGCAATCCCAGGGATGTCATTGCCAGTAATGATGATATCATCAACACAGACAAGCAAAATGATACATCGACCATTGGAGGA